TTTATATGCAGAGAATGGTGGTTTATTTACCCAAACATTAGAGTGATCCAAAATGTTCAGCTAAGCAGGAACACAAAGTATGATATTATATTATGTAAATGGATTTGTGATACGCTCTGCTGGATAATAACTTCCAGATGTCTCTGTAGCCAGAGGCTGACGGATATCAAAGGCAGGTTGGCTGGGAAGGGAGACGTGCCAGCTGGCGAGACTGGCTACTGCTAAGTGTAGCGGAAGGTGAAAGCTGGTATTTCTTCACACTCACTGGTTTTATTTGGGGACTAGTGAAAATTCAGTGACTTGCATGAGCAGGATAGGGCTTGAGGGGCTATAGGGGTCCCGAGTGTCCTATTCTTTCAGTGAATTATTTTTTGACCTCTTCTGTGAGTAAGGATTGAGTTTGGTCCGAGTCTCCCAGCAAATGAAAGGCTGACAAGCCATGGACTAACACTGGCTAGCTGGATAGTTATTCTGACTTATCTTTTATTGCCAGTGCTAAATGCAGGCAAGGAATTTTCCTGAGGTCTCAGTGCCATGGCATAAATACAGTTAGCTCGAGAACCATACAACCTCACCAGTTTGGCGTAAGATTTCCTAAATCTGTTTTACTTTAAAGTCTGACAGTCCCTAAGGGTTTAGCTATGTACCCCCTTCCAAATGCAGCAGGTTGTATTCACCGTCATTAAATGCAGTGCTGGACTGAAAAGGAACTGGAAATTACTCCTATAAGATGCTAATGAAGTTACTGACATAGACTTTGAGAAAGCCCTACATCTTCTGTGGAGCAACCTTTAAAAGTAGAATCTTTGCATAATCCTTGCAGATGAGACTATGCCTCCTTCAACCTCACATTGCTATCTGAAAGCTTGACCTGTCATCTCAGTGAAAGGTTTCTGGTTGACTTTAGTATGGTTTTTAGTTGACTCTAACTGATAGTCCCAGAAAACCCGAAAGAGTGGCAAGGCAATTGTAGGGTAGATTCTACCCCGCTGTACTGCTGTTAATCCTCAGCTCATCAGTCTTGATCAAACTTGAGGAGGATGGTTTCTGAGAGACTTCCCCTGTCCTACAACTGCCCGATATTGTACAAATATTGTAGTTTAGCTTTTCAGAGATAGGAGCATTTTGTTAGCCGAAGATCCAATGGCCGCATTATAATTTGCCCATATTGGCATTGTGCAGACATAAATTGCAGTTACGGGCCCGTTGGAGGGGACACTGGACAACTCAAGGGCAAGTTTCCAGAATGTAGGCTTTAAATGATACAGCTAGCATGTTAAGCCATAAAAAATTCTGCCCTAATATGAATACTAAGGTATCAGGTTATACTGAATCCAAACTTTCATAACAAATTTACATCCCAGCATGGTGTTTTCTCCTGTTGTTTCAATTCATCATATGCTTTGTAATCACCTTTTCTCCTTGAACTTGAAGGTTTTCATCTGTTCTTGTTTTCTTTTCTGGCTTATCAATGTCCTAAACTAATAGACAGGCATAATTACTGAATTACCTGATATTTTATATCCTCATTTAATTGTCTGTGAATTGCCAAAGACCATACTCACATGTTCCATGTTTGGTGTTTGGTCCTTTTGTAATGAATTACAAATGTCACTGTGTAATTTTCAGAATGGAGAGTGGGTTTAATTTATTTATTATCTCCATTATTAATAATGGAGTGTAATTTAACATACTGGGCATGTGATTCATAGACTGGGTTCTCTTTTGCTGCAAATGTCCATCATCCTTTGATCATATGTAAGAGGTGATGGCACCTCAGAAGAGCAAGTGGATCGAAACTGCCCTAAAGCAGTAGCACTAGAGGTGCTTGATTTGATTGTGAGAAGAACTTTGGACAGATTTTGTTCCGATGACACTACAAAAGGTAGAGTAATATATAATCTTTTGAAAATGTCTGTCTGAGATTGTGGAAAACATATGGCCAGTAAGTAAGGCCATGAAAGAAGGAGCAGTTGTTCTCTCAGTGAAAGCTGTTATTCAGCAAAAACAGAATTGGAAGTTGTATTTTGTAATTAATTTAATTTGGTGTCGCATTCTGCTTTTGAGTTGAACTTGAGATCCTTCCAAAGTCAGAAGTACAGGAGTATTTTCTGGGGCTCACGGTCAGTCATTGCTGTTATTCCAGAGATGTTCTTGGATGTTTCAGTCAGAGATCTGAATAGTGCTGGCATTTATACTCACCAGACTTTGTTACCGCATTTGTCTCACAGCTTTTAAACAGCAGAAAACATGTACAACGTATTTAAACAACACCAGAGAAATTAAGGTCATGAGAATGCATTGTCAACAAATGAAGATAAAAAAGAGCTGTTGTTTCAAAGAAAAAATTGTTGTTGCAAGACGCTTTTGAAATTCTACATACCAAATTCAGAGTCATGTTGATGATTTATTCTAATGTAGGAAAACATCATCAAGAGTGACAAGCAAGCTAGTCACTGTCTAGTCACCTGCCAGCAAGTATTTCAGAAAGACTAAAAAGGCTGGTACTGCCTTGCTGAGCTGACACTAATTATTTCAGTATACATGGAGCTTTGGGATTTGTGTTAATTCTCAAGTCTGTCTTTAGTTCAGACTCATTCCACTGTGTAAACTCAGCAGAGCACAAATTATTTGACCATCCTTTCATAATCTGTCCCCACGCTCACTTCCCAATTACACAAACTGATCCAAATACCTGCTCTCAAAGGATCCCCATTTGGGAATCACAAGCCAATTAAAAAAAAAAAAAAAAAAAAAGGGGGGATATTCACTTTTTTGTGTCACTCATGTCTGGTATTCCTGTTCCATGTTGGCGTTCATTTCTGGGTCTCTTCTTTATAACATTGTTTTCATCAGTGTTCAGAAAAGATGTCTTTCTGGTGATAGAACCCTTTTTAGATGAAAACTTTATCGGATATAGCATATTGCGTCCTGTAGGAAGGATGAAGTCAACAGTGCCTACCAATATACTGAATATCCCAGAAAATCTCCTACTGCCACATCATGACGCTGTTTCCTTGTTCATTATACATTTAAGTGAGCATGTTTTAGGAAAAACATCTAAATATTGAATAGTGGTGTACTGATCTTGCAGGGGCTTAGTGACAATGCCTGTTGAAGGTGTTTATACAGCAAAGCACAAAACAGAAATCAACTTGGTGGTGAGAGTGCGAGAGGGTTTGAAAAACGCGTTTCTGTGTGTGACTGGAAAAGACTGTTGTTGTGTATTCTGTGGAAATTCAGTTCTGGACCTGGCTCGCTTTTAAGGTCTGCAGGAAAAAAACAGCTGCATTTTTGCACAAATGCTTCCAGCGATTGCAGCCAGTGGATGTCTGCCCTCCACAGCTAACAAGGATCGGAGTCGTGATCAAGCTGTGAGAATGGCCTCCTGGCTGTGATGCCTATCTCTCAGCATCCAGAAGGTCCATGCAGCTTTGAGGCCATCACTCAGTTCCATATACTGTTTAGTTTTCATATACTGTACAGTTTTGAGGTGACTGCCTACTTCATTGCACTTCCAGTTCAAGATTGAAATGTGCTAATGGATGGATTCACATCAAACCATAAACAGTAAAGTAATGATTCCCACTGAAATCAGTGTGTACAGATAACTGCTTGCAAGTGTGCAGGGTGTTTCAGTTCCTACATTTGAAGTAAGAGGAAAATTGATTGTTGTCTAAAATTGCAGGAGCCTCAGAAAATACTTTGTTTTTTCCTACTGTGTCCTGTTTTTTTGGGGACATTGGCTTTTGGGTTGTTGGGGGGGGGGGCAAGAAAAATAGCTGAAAATTGTGAATTTCAGAGAATAGTTATTCCCACTGGATCTTGCCTCAAATTAAGAGAATGTGACTTGCAGTGTTTCTGATTTATGAAAGTTTAAACATTTTCTGGTGGGAGTGCAGGTCACCATATGGCAAAAAAAGCTTGTCTTTGTTAGTTATCTTTTCTGCAGACTTAACACAAGTAATGCCTGGAATCCTAGAAGCCACAGAATATTTAAGTATTAAGACTGGTTAACCTCTGAAGAGCCTCTGCAAATCCACAGTTCATTGATGTATCATTTTGTGAGGCTGAAGTCTTCTAATAAAGAAGCAGACTCCTTAAGTCCAAACCATGGCCCCACAACAAACATTTTAATGTGCAACAATGAAATATGCCATGGGCAGAATCTGTAGTTTAAAAAAACCTTAACACAGAGGGACTCAAAAGTGCCCCAACTAATGCCAGTTGTTACCGAATGAGATATGTTACTTCGCAGCTTGTGTAGGAGCATGTGTAGTTGGAATCTGTGTTCAAAACCCAGCTCTTACAAGAAGGTCATTTGTCATGAAGCACTGTTACCTTAGTTAACTTAAGTTACTTGATTCACCTTTGCAGCCATAGAGCTGACTTTCTGGTTGTGGTTTGGCAGGATACACCTGCAGAACCACAAACAGGGTTACTGTGTCATAGAATAGCAGAATAGTTAGGGTTGGAAAGGACCTTAAGATCATCTACTTCCAACCCCCCTGCCATGGGCAGGGATGCCTCACATCATGTCACCCAAGGCTCTGCACAACCTGGCCTTGAACACTGCCATGGATGGAGCATTTACTCCCTCCTCTGGGTAACTCTGTACTATGAAACTGGACCCATGATATGGGCCGTAAAGGAATTCTCTTTCTTTGCATTCTGGTAGGCTTCATTTATTAGAAATTTGGAAACCTCTTTAGTCCAATGTGTTGCTGAATCTCCCTGAGGCTGGTGCAATGAAGACAATATATTCTGGGAGTCATCTTGATTCGAGGGTGACAGCTCCATATATTTGTGAGAATGAAGTGGCAGCAGAGTTGCCGGTAGAGCATGTTTTGTCTTTGTGATGCAGAAATACATCACGTTTGTAACAATAACTTTCACAGTTTCATGTGACCATTTGTAAGCAGGAAAGCACCACTGTTGGGAACGAGGTCTTAAGGAGCGAGAAAGACACTAACTGGCCTTGCTGTCTTGTTTCCAAACAGCCAAAAGGAAGGAAGACCGTGCCTGGAGAACCAGCGCAGCAGCAAAGCGACACTCTGCTCCCCTGGCGCCAGCATCAGAGCTCGAATGGCCTGCGGCGGCAGAAGCGAGACTGGGTCATCCCACCCATCAATGTGCCGGAGAACTCCAGGGGACCCTTCCCGCAGCAGCTGGTTCGGGTAAGCTGAAAGCAGAAACAGACATAACGATAGTGGTAATCTTGCAGTGGGTCTAGTGACGGAGTAAGTGCAGTGCAAGCTCCAAGTCCTTGCCGTGGGAGGTCTGGCTCGAAGCACAGGCTCTCTGCTGTTCATCCCTTGCGCAGGAAAAGTTGCCTTTTGCAGACTGCTGAAACGCTTCTTTTCCAAAGCAACGTGTCCCAGTTTTCCCTCCCGCAGCTGAACAGCAGCCTAATCGCCTCCTTCCAGCCAGTCCCTCAAGAGACGCTGGCATTGCTGCCAAGATGGCACTTTGCCCATGCTCTCATCCAAAAAACGGCTGCAGGTGGAAAGCTGGGTTTGGTGGCACCCAGCGAGGAGGGGGTGCTGTATGCCATCCCTTCCATCTCAGAGCCGGGGTACAGATACGTGGCGGGGCTGGAGGAGGTTGGCTGCCTGCCGCTGCTGCAGATGGATCCCTCATCCTCTGTATGTTACCAGTTTCTTTCTTTATGAGCATGATCTCCAAGATCAAGCTTACCCATGTGGTTTTCTGTAATGATTATTGAATGACAGGAAAAGAAGAAGGGAAAAGGTGCCGCTGACAGACACTTTTGGTTGATACATTATTGCTGTTGAAAAGTGTTAGCAAAATACAAATACACGCTGCTATTCCTCTTGTGAGTGCTGGTTTCAGGTTTTGGAGCAGTAGAAAGATTAGCTATCCCTGGCAGACTTTTTCAGCTTCCCTTGGAAGAAAATGGCAAGTGATAAAATTGCAGAACTTATTTTGAGCAACAGTAGCGTGCCATTGGCATCCCTTCTCAGGAGTTCACCTAGTCATCTTGAAACAGTGCCTGGATTCAGACAAGTTGTCCTCATTACCTGTTTCACACTGATTATCTGATACTCTTCTGCACAGCCCATGTCTGGGAGGAAGAAAGGAGCTGTCTGAGTCCTTTGGAAGTTCAGGTGAAACTTGCAACTACTCATGCAATGACTGAAAATGCGTGTTCCCAATTCATCAAGTATTAGGCAAACCAGTTGTTGGCATCGTTTCTTTGTGCAATTAGGGAATTAGGACGAGGAATAAAAAGGTAGCAGGTGGTAAATTTTTTTTATACCTGTCCTGGAAAACCAGGGAGGGAAGCCAAGGAGTCTTTGTGTGGTCAGCAGAGCTGGCTATGGAGTGACCCATTAGTGTGTTGTCCTGTGAAGTTGAAGAAATGTCTGAAGAGAAGACTAACTCTATGTGTCAAAAATATCTTACTAAATCAGATTAATAATTTAGATTAATTCCTGAATTCCTGTGAAAAATAAGGAGAGTACTTGTAAATGAACCCATGCCCTCTCCCACTCTGCTGATTTCTTTTGAGCTTTGACTAGGCAGTGAGAGGACAAGTTGGCACAAGCTTACCATGACTGATTTATTGATTTATAAGGACTGAAATCTCTGTGACACTTTTTCCCCCTACAGTCTGGAGATGAAACAGAAGGACTCAAGAATACAGAAATCCAGTATTAATGAAGGTGACAAATAATAAATTTTATATAGGTACAGAAGAATTTATATTCATCACTTAAGCTACGAGTAACCTTGGAAAGATAACCTAGCTGATATAAACACAGAGCTCCCACACTTTCAGTAGTAGATTCCATTGCAGTTTTTAAATACAGATGCTAGAGGAAACACTAAAAATTAAGTAAAATATGGGGTGGGAAAGAAAGAAATTACTTACAAAGGGCTGCTTTCCTTTTCACCTGACATACAGCAGGGAAGATCCTACAAAGAGGGCAACTTCATTAAGCGTGAGACCCCTGATGTTTCAGGCTTGGGTTGAGTTTTTGCTCATCTGCAGCATCTGGTCCATGTGCTGGCCCCTGAACATGAAGCTTGGGTGATTCCTAGCAGGAGTTACAGCTTCCCCTGTTAGACTTTTCTCTTTAATTATCCAGAATAGGGTAAATCAACGTCTTCAAAGACCAGCACTGTCTGACTATTTCCATCCACATAATCTTCAGATTGCCCTGCAGCATTCTGCTGTCTCCTAGATCTAGGTAACAGTTTTGATCTGATTTCCCATGCTTTTGCTCACTGGGTGCTGAGTATTTTTGCGTCCATCTGCTCACAAACTGGAGCTAGAAGTGCACATGTGAAGTTACAGTTCAGATCCATTTGAACAGAATGAAGTCTGTCAGTTTTCTCTGCTACTTTATATAAAGCATTCAAACCCAGTGCTAGTTCCTGGACACTGAGCTTTTCTTTGTCCAGAGAGCCATGCTTTAGCTTACATTTTATAGGTGTAGCTAATGGAAACCAGTCCCTCTATTATGTTATCTTTGGTTCTGGTTAACCCCAAGGGCAGGGAGGGATGGCATGAAAAATCTGAATGCTGAAAACCCCAGAGCCCTACCAGAGCTACATTTTCTTAGTACCACTTGCTGTTTGCTTTTTTATAGGTTAGACTACTTTGAAATGCATAGGCAAATCTTTCACTTTCCCTCCTACTCCTGCTTCCTATTGTGAAGGTAAAAATTCCATTTTATGGAATTTGATTAGTTACTTGTCAGTATTTTTAGCAAGGCTGTACCTGAGTGAAGTTTAAATCATAGCAAAGGTGAATGCAGCTTGATGGGAGCTACATACCTCAAAAGCTGAACCTGTCTGGTTCAGCTGGGATCAACTATAATTCTCTGCTCATTAAACCATTTCATTCTGATAAAATACATTAAATGAGAAAGTGTTTAGAAAGAAAAAGAAAAAAGGAAGATGTCAAAACATTATCCCTGCCAAAAAAAAAATCGTCTGTTAATTACAGGGTTTTTTCTTTCAAAGGAACATCCGTGTCTGTTCATATGCATCAACCCTCACTAACTAGGAAATGTATTTCAGTAAGATAATATGTAAAAAATAATAATAGGAATTTCTGATTAGGTTTGGCTGTTGAAAATATTTTCTTATTCGTCAAAGAGTTTAAATAAACACCTGATGTGTATAAGCTAAAAAGGAATTTTTATTGCTATGAAAATGTTTTGCAAATACTGGTTTTGTCTTTGAGCTGAGAAAACAGTTACGAAATTTTATTGATATATGCTTACTTATTTTGTAAACATTTATGAAGTTCTCGGGTTTAATTTCATTGTGCTTCACTTCTACCTTTGTATTAGGAATAATATTTTACATGCTGTGAAATATTTTACTGTAGTGAGGATAATTTCGTTACTAATTGTCAGCTAGTCTCATTATTACAACTCTGAGGTCCATAAAAATTCCCATTAAAAATACAAAACCAATATGAAATCCCCCTCCTCCTCCAAGCAAATGACTCACGCAGGCACACTTATCAACTAAGATAATATATTAAATAGTTGTGCCCTTGCTGAGTACCTTCTATTTTCTGACTCATCCATTTTAGCTACATGTGTAGCTAATTCTTAATTATCTATCTTCTAATTATCTGTTAGATAATCTTGTATTTTATCTTCTTTTGCACTTCAGAAAGTATCTGCATGAAAAGCATTAGTTTAAAAGACCACCAGTCTTGTGCAGGACCCGTCTATGGTTAGATAATCGTGTATGAACCACTGCAACCGTATTCACCTTTACTGATGCTCCAAACTTCCGACTTTATCTCCAGGACTTTTCCACAGCTCTTATGAATCGCATGTCTCTAACTCAATCCGCATAGACCCTAATTTTTCTATCTTGCTTTTATTAAACTTTAAACTGAAAAATGTGATATTTGCTCATTAGACCTCTTATTATAAACAGCTTGTTCATTATCATTACACCAGCAGTGAAATCCACTGAGGGTGACCGAGACAGGATCTCGGTGCTCTTACAAACTGCCTTGATTGCATGCTACAGGCACAGCATGCTCTCTCATATCCGAGCACTGGTAATCTCAGGCACAAGAATGCTAGAAGTTATCTAATGTGTGTAACAGGGAATAAGAAGGAAGGATGCATTTTATGTAAATTTAATCAGAAAGTCCTGAAGTGGTCTGGAAAATTGGTAGAATATAATATACCTGAAGACTCTTGCATTGCTTCTTAGCAGAGGTGTTGATTGGTTGGGTTTCATACTGCATGATGCATGTTGATGGAGCAGCCAGATCTTATTAGTGCACTAGACAGCCCTACGGTGGACTCATGGGTGGGTTTGGCGCATGTAAAGCTCTACAGTGAAATTGGGTACTTAATATGAAAAAGGTTGATAGCACACTCTAGACCTCCACAGCCTATTTGTGTGCTGTAGGACCCAGGTCCTTCCTTCCTGGCACAGGAAATAAAAGTAGTGAAACAGTTCTCCAAAAGACTAAAATCCCAGAGTTACACTGAGCTGTGAAATCCCCACTGACTTGGACCATCAGTCCTCAATATTGCTATTTCAGCTCATCAGGGCTATTTCAGCATGTGCCTTTGCACTGTTTTGCATAGTTTTATTGTAGGAAATCCCTCATGCCTCCTCGATCAACCACATTGCTTACTGCTGTGAAATTGGCAGTTCAGAATCCTTTCACTCCCAGCTGCAAGACAGATGGCATCTGTCTGTAGTGAGAGAAGCTTGAGAAAAGGCCTTGCAAATGCTTCCCAGAGGACATCAGACCTTACTTTTCCTGAGAGACATGGACAGGCTTGATTACAAATAGGCATAGATCTTCCTTGTTCTTCCTAGATCTTCCTAGTTCTGGCTCTCAGTAGGTCTTGTCTTTGGTACCCCTGTGAGCATCACAAGCTGAAATTGAGAAATTGGGTGATTTGGTCATTATTGTGACAGACAGGGATAGGAAAGAGCAAGCCAAGAGAGTGGAGAGGAAACAGGACAGCATGCAAGTTGTGTCACTCTGTAGAGGCACAGCCTTTCTTTGAAAGCTGGGTAAAGAGTGTAAATTATAGCAGCTCTTGGCTCTTGACTGTGTTTTCACGCCACAAACCAACCTGATACCAAAGAGAGAAAGATTAGCAGGAAAATGATTCATTAAGCATTTGTGTTGCCATGGTCTTGGCTCTGGTATTGA